ATTCAAGGTAAAATCTATCTTACAAAAGCATGATTTATTTCTAAAATCTATATCAATCTCGAAATGGCTAGCCTTCTAACTCGTCACTTCTCGTGGTTTCCCCGTCCTCGGTTTTGCTTCCTGAAATAGTGGACAAGGAAAAACTATGAGATAAATTCAGTAAGTAAATATGGAGTGCCCTTATTAAACTTATAGCATGCCAACAAGTGTAATCACGAAAAACGGATACACTACGGGAACAAAATAGACGTCTCCTTTATAGGTTACGGCCAGTGTTATAAACCTCCCACTGACAAGCACACGATTTACTAGTGTATAATCCCACTAGCAGGATAACAGAAACGAACCGGTTTTATCAGTAACATGTCGACATGTGTTAGCATTTATAAACCTCCCACTAGCGGGCACACGAATAACATGACCATATCGGAGACAAAACAGGCAGAAGTTAACAGAAAAATCATAATTCACCAATCACTTTCAAATCATCAGGACGATCAATTAAATTTCAAGTAGGCATGCTTAATTTAATGAAAAGCATAAAAATTTCACTTTAAATCAGTCATACTTACTTTTGTATAAAACGGGTTTAGTCCCGCCACCACTTCAAAAACAAATCAAAACATGCTTTTAAAAATTGTACGGGTATTACCATAAATTTACTTACCTCACTCGCATAAAACCGAAGACTCGATCTCAGTGCTAAACTGACAGAACGATCAGGAACCTAATCAAAATATCCAAGAATTAATTCTATAAACAATTTCATTGACCGGATTGTGTATATATATATTTATATACACAAATACATATATAAATGGTTTCCCAATCTCATGGATAAAACAATAGGGAACACGGCTTTTATTTCAATTCCAATTTTTTTCAAGAAATGGAAGGGTGGCGGTGGCTGGGAATTTTCAGGCTGCAGGGGAGAAACAAATGAGCAGAAACACGAAATGGCTGGAGAAGAAGAAAGAAGAAAAAGAAAAGCAGCCGACCATTCTAGATTTTCCTCCTATAAGTCCCTGAACTTTGAAACCTTTGGCTATTAAGTCCCAAAACCATATTTCCTCTCACAAAGGTCCTCACTTAATGCTAAAATATCACAAAATTTTGGGGTATTACATTCACCCCTCCTAAAAAGGAGTTTTGTTCCCAAAACTCAAATTGGGGATCATCTAGACTAGTGAATGGCTTCACACAAGCCAAGGCAAAACAAATGCCTCACCAACTCTTTAGGAACAGAACATAGCCTACTTACACTTCCGTTGCGTCACTCTGATATCAAACCACAACTAATCATAAAACCAGAACATTAACCACTTAACAAGGTTTACCATGAAACAACCTACTGGAGGCTGGGGTGATATGGGAAACACAAGGAATAGAAATAAATCCTGCCAAAGCTACAAAAGAACAATTGTGGGGTTACGCTATGAACCCAACACAAGACGAGTTGGCAAAGAATAGCATGGATTTAAAGATGAGTACAGCAAAACTTTGAACTCTATCAAAGATGGATAAGCATCCAATGGATATATTGATCATGAATGAATGAACAAGTGCATGGATGCCTTATAGATTCGGTTAAAACCCCGATTCAGTCCCTGAACTTTCATTTTTGAACTAAAAATACCCTCGAACTAAAAAAAGTACTAAAAAAATCCCTGAACTTCAATTTTTGGAACCATTTTAGTCCTTCCGTCGACGGAAGTGTCAGATGGCTCGTTAAGTTGCCACGAAATCAATTCTTGTCTTAAATCTTTAATGACGTGGAAAATAACTTATCCACCATGGCATTTTTTGTCCACGTTAGATTCCTGCCACTTCAATCCTTTCTCTTAAGTGGGGCCCACCTAAAGATATTTCTATATTCTCAAGGGTTTTGATTCAGAGTTAACTGAAGCTTTCTACCACTTTCTCACTTTCTCTTTTCTTTTTCTAGACTTTCTCTCGCCTTTTTCTCTTGTCTGCTAAACCCTAGATTTGGGTGTCTTGCTTTTATCTTCTTTAAACAAAATCAACAGTGAGAGATTGATGGAGGGTTCTTCGACACAAAGTGTGGATTCGATTGGATCTACAGATTACAAATGCGATTGTGGGTTGGCTGCTGTAATTCGAACCTCATTCACTTACCAAAACATGGGAATGAGGTTTCGTTGTTGTCCAAAGAAGACAGTAAGCTAACATTTTTCCATTTTTTTTTTTTTTGTTCTCTCTCTAGTTCTGCTGGTTTGTTTCTCAATAGGTTTAACACTATCTGGTATTAGGGACAATGCCCATATTTCCATTTCCTACCTGGTGAGGAAAGGATCGAGGGAAGAGCTAAGGAGTTGTTGCTAATTTTGAAGGATAAAGAATCGAGGAATCTAAAGGAGAAAGAAAATTTTCAAAAGGAAAATGATGAGTTAAAGTTGGAAAAGGAGAAAATAATTGAGGAAAATAAAGATTTGATGGAAGAGAATGCAAAATTGTTGCAGGAAAATGATCAACTGAAGAAGCAAAGTGGATTAATGGATAGGAAGATAAAGCATTTAGAGAAAAAAGTTAAGAAGGTGGAGATGAAGAGCTGTTGGGCAATCATGATCAGTCAAGTTGTTTGCTTAGCTTTTTTTTTTTTTTTTTATTCTCATTGCTGTGATTGTTGGTTTATTTTCTATGTTAGAAGTATAAGGGATTAGGTGTATTGATAATGCAATGTTAATGATGTGAGTCTAGTTGCATCTGGAATTTTTGCAATGTAATATATTCTGTGTTGTTAATGGCAAATTTCTAGGCATTTGAACTTTCTTCGCTTCTATAAGTCCTGTATAAATTATGGGCAAGTTAATGACACATTTATAGTTGTTTCTGGGCATTTCAACCTTATTGTCTAAGTCATGTGCAAATGCAAATTTCTGGGCATGTCCTAGCTAATTCTAAGTCATGTGCAAATTCGGGCCATTTGAACATTATTTTCTAACTCCTGTGCAGTAGAGCATGAAATTTATAAAATTCAACCAATAACATGTAATCATAGTAAGAGAACAAAAAACCCACTCTGTCCATTAACATATTATACCAAAAAATGCAAACTGAGTAGCACAATGTCCATTAAGCTACAAATTACACCATAATTTTCTAAAATGTTAACAAAATAACACAACAAACATGGAAAATACACCATCACTGCAAGCTTAATGGCATCAAAACCAAACTTCAACAATAAGTTCATTTTTCTGGAATAGTTCGCTCCTCAATTTTTCTTCACTTTTTGTTCCTAACAGCTTCCCTATCTTTCTTTCTCTGTTCTACTTGTACTGCCAGCTGCCTTGCAGTCACAAATTGAGCTCCACTTCCATATGTAGCGCTTGAACTCCCTTCACCCTGTAATGACTTTATTGATTAATGAAATTAACTTACAAGTTATATGAATATGAATTCTATCAACAAACCCACAGTAACACTAATCTTAGCTTAAAACATTTAATGAACCATAGTATTACTTAAAACAACAAAATGCAACATTAATCCTAAACTTTTAAACTTACCTTTTTCTTTTGCCTTTTTACAGGTAACTTCTCTCTTTTTTTATGTTGATGGGTATCCACTTGAGGTGAATTCTGGACAGGGGTTGAATCACTAACAGGAGTTGGATTCACAACTTGACTCAATGGAATTTGAGAGTCCTAAAAAATATAATATATAACATGTTAAAATAACAAACTATTAGATGGGCTTAAATGTAATATCTACCCTTGAACTCACTGCAATTTCATTATCAGCAGCATTATTTTGGGGATCTTCAAGGGGGACCTATTGTGGGCCTTCTGCAGTAGGAACTTGCTCTGCACATGCAGTGGCACTTTCTTGAACTCGGGCCTCCAACAATAAAAAAAGACCTCAAGTAAATCACATGTCACATTAAATATTCATTTAATATTTTGTATATATTAAACTGAAACTAACAGTTGTGGGTCCTGTTGCTTTGCATGTCCTTGAATTGTGGCCTCTTTGGAAACACTTTTGGCATGTCATTTTTCTCCCTTTTCTGCTCATGTTACACTGCCCTTCCCATTCTTCCAACACTCTCTTCCTTTTTGGCCTTCCTGGCATTTTTCTCATTGGAGGAGGCTGAATAGGTGGCATTCCAGTTGCTCTCCATTGATTCATCCCTTCAATTGCAGGCAATGCATACTCATAGGCAGCTTTAAACATATCCTTCCTATACCAATGTGATACAAAATCTTCCACTCTAAGCTTCTTGGCATTGATAGCCGTTATGGCGTGCCTACATGGGATTCCAGTGAGATCCCATTCTCTGCATGTACATTTTTTGTTATCTACATCAACCACATATACATCATGTCCATTTTCTTGAACTTCATAATGAGTACTTCCAGGCCAAAGCAATTTGCACCTCCTACTTCGACTTGTATTTGCAACAACTCTCTCCCATGTTCTTGGACCAAAATCATCTACAAACTTCTTATCTCCAAATTCCTGCCTAGCAATTGTTCTTTTCCCACAAAAAGACCTCAAATCTTGCTGTAGTGAAATAATAGCCTTATGCCTTGAATCCACCAACAATCCATTAAAAACTTCACACATGTTATTATCCACTACATCTGACTTTGTCTCTGTTTGGAAGAAAGCTCGACACCAGTGCTTTGGGTCTGTATTGAACATGGTTTCTCTTGCAGCAGGTTTCAACCGAGCTAACTCATCCATAGCTGTGTTGAACTCAACCATGGTTCTTGCCTTGACACATTTCCAGAAAGCCTTTTGCAATTCCTTGCCCTTGTGATGCTTTCTGAAATTGCTGTACTTGTGCCTAGCACAAAATCTGTGTTTAGCATGTGGCAGCAGATTTGCTACTGCATGAATGAGGCCCTACAACAGCCATGCAACGTAAAATTATTAATGATAGAATTGGTACTATTGTCCAAAGTAAGAAGACTAAATTAGTCATCTTAAACTAAGTACAAGGACTAAATTGGTCCTTTAAACAAATAACTTTCTTACCTTTTGTTGGTCAGATATAATGCAAAAGTTCTTTCCATCTCCCATCATTAAATCTTTTGCCAATTCTTCAAGAAACCATTCCCATGTCTCCCTCGTCTCAACTTCCACAACAGCCCATGCAATGGGAAACATTTGATCATTGGCATCTCTTCCAACAGCGATAAGCAATTCTCCTTTATGTGCACCTTTAAAAAATGCACCATCAACTCCTATTACATGTCTACATCCAGATACGAATCCTTTCTTTAATGCACTAAAACAGACGTACATCCTCAAGAAAACAGGATTCATATCTGCTGTTGGTCTAGCACATTCAAGCACAACATTTGCTTCAGGATCTTTTTACCTTCATTCATTTGCATAGTCAAATAACACTTTGTATTCAGCCTCACATTCCTTATTAAATGTCTTTTTCAACTTCATCTTTGTCTTCTTACATTGCACACGTGTAAACTCCACACCTAAATCATTCTTAATTTCAGTAAAAATGTCTTCTTTATTCAAACGTAGACTAGCTGCTCCTTTTGTCTTTACCAAATGCTGGGTAGCAATAGAAGACGTGCAAACTTTGTTGGTAACAATCACTATACATGTGTGATTAGGACTGAAGGTTTTTACCATCCAAGACTCAGTAGGTTTGTCAAATGCCAGTAGTATCCTCCACTTACAGTTCTAATCATTGCATACTGCCCTCATCCTTTGACTATCATTTTTTTTCCATGCAATCTCTCTCCCTTGTCTAATGCTCAATTGGTCCACAGCATTC